AGGCTATAGAGTGTCTCAGAATAATATTATCGCCTTTCAAATACTTGCTTTTTAAGTAAACATTACAACACTCAGCTAAGAACTGTTATATTAGCCGTTATTCTAGAACACTCTGTTTTGCTACGTAGGTATGATTGTTATTCTTCATTAGACAATATACACGCAGAATAATAGGTTACGAAAGTACTGAATACAAGAGACACATTACATTAAAGGAGTGTGTATTGTTACATATAACGTTCGTGTTGGTAGCATTGTCATGTGTTTCTCTGCCTGATTTCATAGAAGATACAAATGTGATTTAGAAATTTTCCGCTGAACTGTGCATTTGTAGCTGAGTCAGAAATAAAGGAACAAACAGAACAGAGTTCATTGACGATAAACGTGCAAGCTGAAAAGTTACCCTAGCAATATTCACACTTTATTAAGTTAAGGACGTGAATAATATATAGTCAAGGATAGAGGAAAATTAGTTTCGCTAGCAGATAAGTCTTTGATGCAAAGGGAAACAAAGGAGTATTATTCACTTTATGAGCGCGCCTGTTCGAATTTGACTTACAATGATGAATTACTATAAAAACATGCACTACTTTAAGCAGGCGTTTGAATTTCACACTGAAATTTACGCGTAGATGGGGACATTTCTCTCACGGGTTAAATGTTAACAATAGCTATGTAGGTATATTGTACTAACTCTCCTTTGTTCAAAATTTGTAATGATTCCCACAGAAGGACAGTTTTTGATTCAGAGTTTAGAACAAGCCTTCTGATAAGCCTGTCCGAATCTCAGATATTTAACATGGGTACAGAAATTGACCGAACAAGGAGACCAATTTCTGATTGGTGTCTACATTAGAACACAAAATATCTACTGTATTCTCGTCGCTTGACCTTGAAAGATAAATTGGTATTTATGAGCATTTTATGTGCTTCACGGAGATGTATCTATTTAAATTGCATTTCTTTCGACCTGTCTGTTCGGAGTTTTATCTCCCGTTTCATTCTAGCCTATGGATTAAGATTAAATTTGGTATTGGGGATGTATATGAAAAGTTAGGTTAATTTAATTTTGGTCCATTATTACACATATTTTCAGTGTCCCGTAAAATAATAATGAAATTTAAATAACGTACTAGACCTGTAATTTCGTTTTGAAATGGGAATGCAGTCGCTCGTTTTGAACTGATTCGGCACATTTCGAGGTATCAAGGGAACGGGCGATTGTAGTTTAAAACTTAGAGTAAACATGAGTGACTTCTAGTGCCAATTTAACGACACATCCTGCAGCGAATGGAGATTCCGAAAGCTGTTAGTAACTTCTCACTTCTGTAAATGATGTCGTGATAAGCATACAAAACTTTATATCGTCCATGGAACGTCGTTGTCGCTCAGGTTAGCCAAGAAATTATTCTTTAATACAACCAGAAGATTACATATCGTGTTCACAAGATCCCGCCACTGGGCCTTATCCCGAGTCGGATGAATCCAGTCCACCTCCTCCGATGCTATTCCTGAAGTTGGAACTGCAATAGATTCTTGTCCTTTGTTGTTCTTTGGCGTTGAACCTTGGACTCTAATTGGCTTACCACACTGTTTATTCATCTATTTATATGTTCATTGACTTGGACAGACTTGTTCCGTGCATTAACCGACTAAGAGCCATTTGCTGGTTTGATTGTACTTGGCCTTTGTATAAGGGCTGTAATAAAGTACAGTTACGTTCAGAAATTACGGCACGGAATATAATGAAGGGCAAGTAAGTAAACAAACAGATAGACAAAGGAAAGTTACCAATTCTAATTTTTTTAAGTGAGTGTAACGGTTACATAACATTAAAATTCGAAGGCGTTGAACATTGGTTGGACTGTGTCCTCGTAGATCGTCATATCATTGTCTCGCATCTTCTCTTGCGCAGTGCAATCCTCGTTATAACTCAGTGGCGCCTACATGAAAGCGAAGTTCCTCCTCTTATCATAAAATAGAAATGCATCTTGAAGTATCATTAAAAGCGCACAGTACATATGACTTCTGTTTACTACACTCGCTCGATTAAATTCCTTGTCAACAAAGCACTTTGGTTTACACGCTCTGCTGGGCGAAATTTCTTGGTATTTATGACTTACTGTAGCCAGAGAGTAAGTGCAAAACTGCAATAACATGTATATTTACTGGTACTTACGCAGTACGGTAGTAAAGCAAACAACACTCAGCGATTCCTGAATTAATTAATGTTGATTCGGTTCTTTGACTACAGAGAACCAGTTCCATGGGCTGTATACTGTCATTTGCTACATGGTGGGATAGTAATGTACGAGGTGCGATCGGAAAGTTTCCAGATTGCGCGTATAAAAACCCGTACACTTATCTCAGGTATTAAATTCATCCATCACCCTCGAAGTAGTTCCCCTGGGAGTAAACACAACGTGAATGCCACACAAACTTTTGTGCACGACCCATTGCGGACTCCCCAAATGCTTGCTTTAGCATTTCATAGGTTTCCGTAGCCGTTTTTGCGAGTCTTTGGCAAAATTTGATGCACACGCCATTCCGAAATCGCAGGAGGGTCGGTGTAATGCACTACCAAAACGCCCGTAACTAAGAAACAAATGCTAATTCGATAATGCCGGCTGGCACACTGATTCACTATGAATGTAGGCCGCACCTCCTAGCGGCAGAAGCTCGTACTAAATCCGGTTCGCCCTCTATTGACACAGTCTGAAAAATTTCCGATCGCACCTCGTATGAGGAGTAAGTGATCTAAGTGAGATTTCAGGTTGCCACTGTGCCGATTATGATGATTCCTGTCTTCTGATTTGTTGCCGTTAAAATTCACAATTTTAATCCAATAAACAGGAATGTGTCCTCATATGATATTTACATTGCACGTAACTTGAGTTAAGAATTTGGTTGAAACATTATTAGAATTATTGGATATATAACATACTCTTTGAGAACAACACTACTTGATCGAGAAAGAGATATTAATTACTTCTAGCCGACGGGCGGACGCAAGCGTTTGTGTAGGTTTTTAAGTAATTATAAACAAAAATATAACATTTGATTAGTCTTTGTCCACAGTGTTTAATTTTATTTCATTGCATTATATTTTGTTTTCGTAATCGAAGGTGTAGTGTTATAACATAAGCTAATTTTTAAATAACTGTGCACTTATTGCTAAATTCTGATTTTAGACTCGCTCAGAATAACCTGATATTTTTATTCAAAAGAACTGAGGCTGTAGTTTACTGGACGAACATGTTTATTTAATGCCTAAAGTTCGTATAATTTTAGCTACTTTGTTAGCAATGTCCACATCATTGTCAAAAGAATACCATTAGTAATTTAATACACGGATGACGACGAAGTTAAGAAAGTTTAGTCGGAAAACGTGAAACCATTCGCAACGTCTCGACGTAGACGTGATGGTGACAACAATTACCTTACTTCGAGAGCAGCAAAGTTCTAGGTTAGAGATAAATCCCGTGATTTATGATGTGCTGCTTTGGTCAGAGCTATCGCACACCTCGTGGGGCGGTGATAGATGAGTATGGAACATTTCTGGAATGATAATTAGCAGGAAGAAAACTGGGAGAAACCCTGCTTCAGTGTCACTTCATCCGCCATGAATCTTACTTGAAGTTGCTCAGTACTGAACCCGGGTCTTACAGTGAGATGCCAATCTGTGTGGCACGAAGAGACTTAGATGGATGCTGCGGCAAATTTTGAGTCTCGTAACGTGATCGTGACATTTTGTTTTGATAATATATTAATTTTAATAGTATGCTTCAATATGTGTTTCTAATAAATGCACAGAAATCCATCTACGCAGCGCCTGAGGCTTTAACATGGATGTACCCGAGTTATTTATTGTGCACGTAGAAACCTGTAAGCTGGTGTTTGTATGCACAGTTGACATTCTATGCTACACACGAGATATCTCGCTCAGAAGCATTTTTTTTACATTGCATTTTATATCTGTAAGAATTTCGGCGCCGAGTGTGAAGATGGCGGTCTTCTGGATTATAGCGCCGTATAGTCTAGGAGCAGTTTACCGACGTAACCGAGGATCGTGCTGCCTCCATCATCAGGGTTTCCAGAAGGAGGTCATGTTCATTTTTATTTGATAAGCTCAGTGAAATAAAGGTCACGTCATCTGTCAACAAATTAAATTATTATTGGTTTTTAAAAATTTTATGTCAATTGTTATGACAAGTTTTCTTTAAATAGAAAACACGTGCAAATATGCGTAACTTTTTATCTCGCTTAGTTTGTTGAAGATGCGGGTTTTGAATCAGTCCGAGAACCGTGTTAATGTTTTGTATACGAATTTCTGCCGATTTATTTCTGATTACCGTACATAATCACTTTTTCGTCCCATTTGATCCCCGTAACTCTCACAAACTAATCGTTGTGTGTGTGTGTGTGTGTGTGTGTGTGTGTGTGTGTGTGTGTGTGTATATATATATATATATATATATATATATATATATATATATATATATATATATATATATATGTGCTACGATAAAGTCTTAGAATCAACCGTGGTGAAACTAAACTGTAGATTAGGGTTGAACTTGGCTTCTTCCTAATCGTTGTCAAAACGTGTAAGAACAGTCTGTTTCAAATTGTTGTTATACCATTATGTACAGAGTGACTGGGGAAGATACAAGTCTCCATAATCTGGACAGTCGATGTAAAAATTCCTATCAACTTCCTCCATAATACAAGTTAGATGCTTTACCGCTTTACGTAATTTTCAAGTTAGTAATTCCTTCGTAGAGTTTCTGTAGCTTTTATGGGTCGACCATATACTCTAAATTTAGTACAAGATAAACGTCAGATAAGACACTCTTACACAATGTACCATATTCATGTGTTATTTGCACAACTCAGGTTATTAAACAATTTCGTCTGTCCTCTTAAATGGGCTTAATTTCGTCCTGCGTGAATTATAAAATACTGACTACAAGGTGCGATGTGTTTCTATTGTGTTACAGGCGAAGGAGCTAGGAGCTAGCAAACATTCTGCTGATAACAACGGTGAAACAGAAGCCTTGGGTCTGTCTAGTGTCTCTGGTATCAGGATAACTTGCAGACTCGTGAGCCCAGTAGCAGGAGATTGCTAACAGATTCAAAATTTGGCAAGTCTTCAGTGTCTGATTGTCACATGCGCACTGCTGAGGATTTTACATATCACTTCGAGGATATTTACCAACTCGATGAATTCTTTATACTCTGAAAGATTATGAGACATGTCAGAAAATGTAGCACAAACAAATATCGTAAGAGTTATTAGTGAATGTTTTTTTGTAAAACACAACATAGTTGATTTTGTTACGTATTTTATGTAATAAATTAAATTACATATTTGAAACTCCAACCCTCAAGACAACTGAGTATTCATGTTCAGAAACTGAAAATGTGAAGTGACGGACAGACAATGTAGTCTGCTTCAAAGTGTACAGCAGCCGAACTGCAAAACAAAGCAAACTTTTTTAAATGTATTTGCGAGTGATATGCTAAAAGTGATATTCGTGTCAGAATATCAGGATTATAGATAGGCTTATAGGTATAGGTTAATATTACGAATCTCATTAAAAATGTATAATGGCTTACCAACACAGTAAAATCGTGAATTTGCAAGTGAAATTTTGAAAGTGATTTCAGTGTTAGGATCTCCGGATTTAAGATGAGTGACTTTGACGGTGTTACGATGGATAATATTGAGGAAAACAGTCTGAAAGGATTTGCAGACAACACGAGCGTGCACAAAGAAGTGGAATGCTTGTTGAAAGGACTGGAGTCTGATGACAGCGGCGAAGGAGGGTCGATCTTCTGTCCACCCTCTTACGACACACTCCTCTGCTGGCCGGAGACACAGGCTGGCACGCTAGCAACCCTGCCGTGTTTTGAAGAACTGAATGGCATTAAGTACGACACAAATCGTGAGTATTCTTACACAATTCGCTTCTTCATCTTTAACCCGTGCATTATATTTTGCAGTAGTTGTTAAAATTGTCTTTAATCATTTGTTGTTTGTTCAGTTCAGCAATTATTAGCTGTTTATGTGCCTCTCTCTTAGATTATGATATCATTAGATGTAAATGAATTATTATTGAGATTTTAAAATGAATTAATATATCCTGACGGCATCTTTGGTGTCTCATAAAATATTGATTCCGAAAATTATTCTGAATAATGTCGATGTTGCCTTTTAACTCGCTTTTAATGTCTTTCTATTTTCAGTGTTTTGATAAGTTTGGTTGTGGGATGAGGAAAATTAATATTTATGGTCTGAACGTTACGCTACGCAATGATTACTAAAATTGCACATTTATGCAGTGCTTCCTCATTATTTACTATTTAATTTTGTGCCTAGTATTAATTTAAACGCTGCACACCCCAGATTCGACACTATTTGCATTGCATCTATGCGTTCTTGGGGACGCCAATGAAATTGATTTTACGTGTAGTTTCGTTCGGTTCCATATGCAAGTCTTCACACACAAATTATTCAGCAGTGCACTTCGTATTATTGGTTTACTTACACATCTGGTGTTCGTACAAACCGGACAGAATTCAGGGTGTGGGCAGTGGAGAATTGCCACGTGCTAACGTTGTGGCAAGAGTAATCAGGTCAGTGTGAACAAACGGCAACTCAAAATGCACAGAAAATGTACAGTATGAGGCGAGGAAAGGAGTAAAATGCAAGAGGATAGCATGTCTTTGTTAATCTAATAATAATTTAAAACAAACCATTGTTTGTTATATGCGAATTTTACAAAAATCAAAGTTTACTCTTTTACACATTCTTCCATTAACCTCTCAAAATTAATTCTAATTGAAAGTGGTCTTAGAAACTTCTGTTTTTTTCCAAACTACGATGGTCTGGTGTCTGTAATTGAATGGAGAGTATGACTTCTTGCTTTTGGTTATATTATTTCACAGATAATGGTACCTACGAGTTAGACATTTTTTCCGATGACGGCCAGGATCTCTCCTTTAGACTCTGAATAGTATTTTCTTCGTTATTGCGTCTAAACATAGATATACGCAATTTTATGCAAAAAAAAAACGTGAATCTTTAATCCTTAAGTTAAAATACAGAATATGAGAAATGGTTTTCTGTTAAACATTTAACATTTTATATGAAGATGCGAAAAATTTTGTGTTGAGAGCAGAATACGTTTCAGCGAAGAGCGCTGATGTTTTTCGTCACCTCTCGAGTAGTATGTGCTGGCAGTCGAAACCTGGCACTTCAACTTCAAACACGTTCACTTCGCTCAGTACTGAACTCTGCGACAATGGGATGAAGTACTTATTCAAGCACCATCAAATTCCCAAACAGAGCATTTGGTTAGAGGACTGTTTTGCAAAAGAATAATGAGGTACATGAAGCAGCCTTTGACATGTGCAACAATAAAATTGCCCGAAAATTGAAATTAATTCAGTTCAGTTTTTGTTCATATTTTTTATAAAACATGCTGTAATAAATCCTTCAGAAATATGGCAGAGTTTACATATTTGGAGACAACATTAACGAATCAAACTAATTCTCTAATAAGTTACGAGAATGTTAAATTCCGAAATGTTACTTATTATTCAGTTTAAATCTTACAGTATCCAGTTTCCTAACCGGAAACATTAATATTAAAATATACATAACAACAATTTTACCTTAAGTTTAATATGGAACTGAAATTTGGCCTCCGTACTGTAAAGGAAACACAAATGATGAAGGCATTTGCGAACAATTGATTGAAATGATTATTCGAACATTAAGAACAGGGTGTTACAGAAGAATGGAGAGAATTACATGAGGGGTCTTATTTATAAGTTGTTATACGTTATAACAACTTATAAATAATTCTGTTTTTATTTCGAAAATTAGCACCTTCATAGCTTCTTTCACGAAAGTTATATAGCCTAATAAATCGTTATTTATGTCACCTACTAATTTTTACAATACGATAAATTTTATGAGGATTAATTTTTGCCACTCCAAAAATAGACTAAACTAGTGGTCTTCTTTTCTACACTACTGTTAGAATTTGGGGTTTTGGGTCATGCTCCTGCCCATTACAGTTTCCTTCAACACGCTTTACAAATAACTATTTACAAAGCACCTTGGCAATTGACGAAGATCGCACATTAACACACGCAGTTGCAAAAGCGCGTCCTATACTCCATTTAAAAGCCGTTATGTACGTTTGCAGCTCGCTGACGCTGAATAACCAGAATTATCCCGACAAGGTTTAGTGCAGTCCCCGACGCAAAATTAATCTTACAAACAAAACCTTCCTGGCAGATGTTAATTTATTTCGGTTCGTTCGAATGAAGCAGAAACAATTTAAAAACAGATGTGAAATGTACAATAGGCCTATACACTTTGAAGGACTCAGAGACATAACTGCCCGTCACGGCAGATGAAATAACTGACTCCAAATTGATCATAGTGTACGGTCTGTCCACTTTCCACAGTGTTTGTTCCCCTAGGAAACACGTCGTAACTTCAGCAATTTAACTTCTGTCCAACATGCTTTCGGTTTTTATTGACTTGTTCACTCTCTGAAATTAGATTGAATTAGTATAAAAGTGTTTGTTTGTTGTGAGCATTGAATCGGATAGTCCCGTACGGTGCATTTATCATCCTGGCACCAGTAACACCGTTTAATTTTAGTGACATAAGTAATGTGAGTACAGACGACATATTTTCTGCCTTTAAGAATACTGAGACACAACTTTTGACAGATACAAAACCTACTTTTCTTTTTAAAAGAATCCTAATCGCTTTTAATTCTTTTCCAATTAAGTTTTTAAATATGGAGATAACGCAATTTTGTGAATTAGATTACTTTCCAGAAGCTGATAGTGAATTATGGAACCCGAACGTTCAATATTTCGTGGTCACAGGGCCCTGCCATTTACCTGATGGGTTTGAACCCTATCAACACATTCCTATCCTCGTTACTTATGAGCCGTTTTAATATTGTATATCATCGTTCCCATATTCTTCAAAGTTGTCCCCTTACCTTCCAGTTTACTGACTAACATTTATTGCACATCTCATCTCTTACATGCGTGCTACGTGACCCAATCCGCATTGATCGAACCACCATAATAATATTTCTATAGGACTATAAGTGGTTAAACTTGTCAGTTTGCAATTTTTTTAAGTTCTTATTTGTTAGTTCTAAACGCCTAGTTCTGAAAGTCTTCTTGATTAAATCGGTAACAATATAAATTATGCACGTTGTCCGGTAATTTCTAAAACTAAAATTAATCAAAAGTTTTGAGAGTTGGTAGATAAAGATTTACTTCATCAAACACTTGCATTGGAGATATTTATTTCTCCGTAGTCCTTGTGTGTGGTGAGCTCAGACAAATTAGTCTCCCCCTTATTTCAGTTTGTGAACTTTGTGCTGAACCCTTGTCGCGAAACTATTTCCATCAAGTTTTGAAATTTTTGCACAGCGTAATAATTCTGAAGCTTTCACCACTCTTTGACCCTTAACCTTCTGACCCCACGCGGGAATGCCCTCCCCCGCCGCCTAGCCACTTCGACGTATAAAACTCTTTTTTGTCGTCATGCAAATCCCATCCTGTTGCTTTCGATCATAATCAGAATTGTAGCAAAACTGTTATCAGATTTCCTGAAAGTACGTTTGGCATTTATCTAGCTGTGGAGTACGTGCGTACTTACACACGTAACAGACGAACAGAGAAGTCCTAAATGTTTGCGTGGTCAACAGATCTGTTATTACTGTTGAGTATTAAAATAATCCGTTCAGAGATCGTAAACAGATATCCTGTACAATGTGAAGAGATAGACTCACTGGTGACCGTGGCCTCGTAATCAAGATTGGTGCTGTAAATTAACCACGATGCCTCAGCATCCCCTGGGTTTAAAGCACCAGCTTGTGTTATTGTCCTCAGGGTGTAACGTCTGCTATGTCACATATTCACTTCGTGGTGTGCCTCTATTCTGAATGTGGCACACCTATCACCTTGTGATTATTTGGTTAATAACGGGAGTGGTTCTGATTTGACGTACATCATTGGTTTCGAAGCTCTGTTACGAACTAACCAAATCACACACTCCATGGCGCACGATTTTGAATAGCTTCTATTGTTATAGTCACTGTCTTTGCGTCTTACAGAATGGGCGGGAGGAAGTAGTATGACACGCTTTGCACATTCTCTGATCAGTACTACGGTCCAAAATATAATTTCTTCGTTGTGTGCACAGAAAATCATTATACACTAGAACGAACGAATCATTTTCTGTGCGAACAATGTAAAAGTGGAACTAACATTTTCGTACCTGATTTCTTTTTATCGACAATCTGTCTCTCTGTCCCATGTAACACTGCGAGAACTGATCAATGGTTTTTCATTAAATTTCATGCTGGGGTTTTAACAACATTTTGAAAAAAATCGGATAATAGTAACGGACATCTTACATGCAATGGAGTCTCCAGCTAGGATCACGCAGTCACATGAAGGATTGTTCTGATTTTATCACCTAGCTATAGATATCCAGACACTCAGTTTACGAAAACGTAATTAGCCCTAGGCATTTCTGACAATCCTGGAGCCATTCAAAATGCCAAAGGTCATTTTTTGATAGCACAGCCTGTCTCCTATGACAGCTTTCATAAACAGCATTTGCGAATTGAAAATCTCGGGGTAGAAACAGCGAAAACTTGTCAGCATGTGTACGCTACACGTGCAAAATCTATCATATTTATTTTTTATATATAAAACAATTACTCTGTTTACAAGTTACGTTTAAATCGTCGATGTTTGAACGTTTTACCACTCTGTACAACAGTGAAAAATTAAATTTCTATTCGTAACCAAAATAATTGTACCCCACGGTTTCCGGTACAGAATATGGGTCCGTATTATTTCTATCAATCTGTGGCCTGCGGTCCGTTTTCAT